GTCTTTCATACTGGTTCTGCACGCTCCTGGACAGGGCCAGGACCAATCAGAGCAAAGAACAACATGGCGTGCTTATTGCTACAGTAATCAGTCAATGGGACAGTCTGTCCCAAGTCAATACATCCTTTTTTTTGTCTCACAGAAAAGCCCACGTTGATGCCAACGCCATTTCAAACGAGCACCGTTCCTGAGCGGACGACATTTTTGTAGTTTTTATCTGTTGCACCTGTGGTGCTAAAGCCCGCCCTACAGACATGGAGTGCGGTGACTGGCTAGACACACAACTGCTCAGGCTAATGGTAGACCTGCTGAGGCTACAACGGAGCATGGCTACATCGACCTGCAGAGCAAAATCTTTTGCTGCTGCTACAGATGGTCTAGATTTCTTGGCTAGTTCAGAACTCAAAGCCTTCTTCCTGGATTAACTTTTAGTGGTTGCACGCAGATAATCTGGCCAATCAGCAGATCCTCACCTGTTTTGTACTGACATATTATTTACAGTGTTGGGAGTAACGCCGTTTAAGTATAACGGCGTTTCTAACGGCGTTCTTTTATAGGTAACGGAATAATCTAATTAATTACTTTTCCCGCCGTTGCAACGCCGTTACCGTTACTGGGGACGGAACGTTGTGCGTTACTATGTGCTTGTCGAACGTTGAGCAGCAGCGTGAGGCTTTCTGACCGCCACACTTCAGCTGCAGCCAGGGAGAGAGAGGTGTCGGTAACACACTTACAAACACGATGATGATTGGCCGGGTGGGCGGAGACCCTCACGGTCTCAGTCGCTGCATTCTGTAGACACAACGGGAATAACTCTGTTTAAAATAACCGCGTTAATAAAAAATATTTCTTTCTGTAACGAGCAAACTAATTAATTACGTCTTCTTTTATCAAAACGTCGTTCCTGTTACTGATAAGTAAATGCGTGCAGCAGCGAATCTGCGGGTCTGCAGCCGTGCCCTTAGCATGACAGCGGGACGTCCCGAAGGTCCGCTCACCTGTTCACCGCTCAGACGTCCTGATCTTCTACCTTCCTAGATCATCCAGCTGTAACCTGTTCCTGATCATGTCTTTAGTCCCGCTGTAACTCTGATGCATCAGTCTCAGACGTCATGGAGCTCAGGTGTTATTAGAACTACCTGTGTGTGTTCACCACCCAGCTTCAGCTCTTCTGTGGTTGGGTCTGACCCAAGTTAGTACATTTAAGTCCTCCATCAGGCTTGTGCCTCTTCTAGTGTCATTTTAAAGGATATTTATTTATTTATTTAACCATTTCTAGATTAGCAGCAACAGAAATGCTACTAAAAACACACAATTATGTGAAGCTGGAAAAATTAGAATGCTGTGCAAAATTACATTTATTTCTGTAATTTAACTAGACTGAGAGACCATTTAAAGGCTCGGGAACCTTTACAGGTGTTTCTTTTTGCAATTTTAAATTTTAGCTGATTGGGTTTTTGTTAAATATCACACAGTGACCTTTTAATAGTCTAGATTAGTGTAATGCTCCTGTTAGTAGTTCCTCCTGTTAAGTGCTTATTTGTTTAACTTATTCAGGTTTATATAAAACATTTGGACATACATTTTATTATGTTCCAGTCATTAGTCATTTATATTTTACTATTGTAGTAATTCTTGCATTCTTTAATGAAAAAAGTAACTAAGTAGTTACTTTTGTTGGTAATTAGTTACTTTTATGATCTTGTAACTCAGTTAGTAACTGAGTTACTTTTTTGACAAAGTAATCAGTAACTATTACTAATTACTTTTTTAAAGTAACGTTCCCAACACTGATTATTTACAATTTTCTCTGAGTGAAAAGAAGCCTAACCACAAGGAAATTGAAAATAAATAAATAAAGAGCTGATTCAACCAAAAGAGCCAAACTACAGTTGTGAAAATGCCAACAGTGTTGTATCATACAAGCTTCTTAGGGACCGCGCCAGGCAGTAGCTTAGGGTTGCTTCAGCAACAGCAAGATTTGGTCAAGTAGTTGTTCAGCAACGTCAGTGGTGTTCTTACACTCACCAAGCATCCACCAAAAATCAGTGATTTATACCCGATTCACCTCATAAGCTTGGGAACATTTTTTCTAAACAAATGAAGAAGTGCTCATCTTCTCATAAGAAGCTGATCGTACCTTCACAGCTGAGAAAGCCAAAGGGAGGAGCAAAAACGTTATTGATGACTATAAGGTAAATGCTTAATTTGCACAGTCTCCAACCAAATTATAATTCATATTGAAAGCTGCTGAATTTGCATAAATCTCATTAGACTGCAGTGAAAGGGGTTCATAAATCGTTATATTAATTAGTCATTTTTGCCACCTTTTCATAGGAAAATGGAGTGTGTTAATAAAATGAGAAGGGAGTGTGATTGTGAAGTCTAATTGGCTGCTGTTAAACCAGGTTTGGTGAATGATTGACAGTTCTGATTTTGTTTGGCTTCACTTCTTTTGTCTAAGGAAGTATCTGCAGGGATGGATAGGCGATGTGTGTGAACGTAGACCCAATGGATATGACCTGTTGTCCCATACACAGACATGACTTCAGTGAGCTTAACAGCCGAATGCTTACATTACGTCTGAACTATTCGGTCTTCACTGACATTTAAGAAGTAGTTATTCCTGATTTGGAGTCTGTTAGAGGAAGTCATTTTCAAATTGTTCATTTTTTTTCATGTGTGGACCAGCAGGCTGGGATGAATACATAAAACAATACAAGTATATATCTTAATCCTCACATACTTTTAAGTTGGTGATTGTTATAATATTTAATGAGGCAAATTAAAACTAAAGTTGTGGCCATTTTCTAACAAGATTTTGACCTTTTCCTACCAACTTTTACAGTGGGGTAAAGTTAGCCTGATGGGGAAATCTATACTTTAACCCTCCCACTGTCCTAATGGGTGTGACCCTGCGAGGAAAGTTGACCATTGAGCAGGATTGATGGTTTATCCCTTGAGGTCCACGTGGCAGGGGTGAGGTGGTGCTCACTCCTCACCCCTGCCGCATGGACCCAAGGGATAAACCATCAACCCTGCTCAATGGTCAACTTTCCTCGCAGGGTCACACCCATTAGGACAGTGGGAGGGTTAATATTTTGGACAATTTCTGAATGTCGATTTAAAACCCAAATAATCAGAAGTTGGGGTTTTAAACCAGATATTTACCTAACATGCATTTTCAGACTGAGGTTAAATGGAATAAAGGAGCAGTAAAGAGAGCCCCTTTCTAACATCTCAGAAAGGGCGAGTGAATGTGTTGGAACGTGGATAAATGATCCACGGTTAATAGAACTCACACAATCTTAAAATAACACTTCTCTATTGGGCCATTCCCATCTGTTCCTGGTCGGACCTGCCCTGATAGCTCCAATCAGCCCCAACCTGGCCCGGTTGATTCCACACATCCTTGCTTATGTATGCAAGGAATGCAGTCAGATATGGCACGGTATGGGGCCCAACATTAAGACTACTGCCCAGCAGCAGGAGGCTATATAAATTCCGAAGCTAACTACTGATCTGATTAATGATAAACTGGCGCCGGTGACTGAGAGGCTGGCGCTGCTTACTGAGGAATAGCCCCTTTACCGGCATTACTACTAGATACGCTAGGGACTAGCGGCCCTTGACCGGTCATTGACTGGTTCTCACATTCCTTCTGCTGTCTATTAGCATGGATAGGCTAGCGTTAGACTGGACAGGCTGGTGTTAGCATTGGGGAGGCTAGCTATTAGCATGCCTAGGCTAGCCACTAGCTGGATTTCCTACCTCCTCGACAGGCCATTAGCATGCATAGGCTGGCGTTAGCATCAGAGAGGCTAGCCATTAGCATGTCTCGGAGAGTTACTAGTCAGCTAGTGGACAGCCTAGGCATGCTAATGGCTAGCCTCTCCGATGCTAATGCCAGCCTATCCATGCTAATGGTCCGTCAAGCGTGTAGGAAATCCAGCTAGTCTAAGCTTAGGCATGCTAATGGCTAGCCTCTCCAATGCTAACACCAGCCTGTCCAGGCTAACGATAGCCTATCCATGCTAATAGACAGCAGAGGGAGTGTGTGAACCAGTCAATGACCAGCCGAGGGCTGCAAGTCCCTAGCGTATCTTGTAGTAACGCCGGTAAAGGTGCTATTTCTCAGTAAGCAGCGCCAGCCTCTCAGTTACCGGCACCAGCTTATCATCAATTAGGTCGGTAGTTTGCTTCAGAAGTTACATAGCCTCCTGCTGCTGGGCAGTAGTCTTAATTTTGGCCCCCATACCGCGCCATAGTCAGAGACATTTTCAGCTTCTAGGTAATCAGCCCGATAATGAATGACAATGAATTGAGCATGCCTTAAGCCCATGTGGGCTGATTCTACCCACCAATCAGAGGCTTGCTCTAATGGAAGGTGTGAACTTGCTGACTGATAAGCCGGCTTATCAGTCAGCAGTGAGTGTGTTGGCCCTGGTCAGCCTGAAGCAGACCACCTCAGAAAGAGGGCTGAAAAGAGTCTTGTTGCACCCTGAAAAAAGGCAGGCCACCAAGATATGTATCCGGGCCGGGCCGACCAGGTACAGATGGGAATGGCCCATAAAGCAGCCCACCGGTTACAGACCAAACTCCTAAACCCTGTGCCCATGTCATTACTTACTACTTATTTTACTTTTAATTAACTTCTAGTATTATCACTTTTACCATTGATGGATATCTGCTGATGCTGTGTAAAATCATAATTTCCTAAATAAATGCATCAAAAGAGACTTTATACTCAACTTTTATTATCATGAGTAGCTGAATGTGGTCGAATGTAGTTAAATGTTTTGTTTATTACTCGTGCAATAAAAATAAATTTTGGGCACTAGTTGCAAACAGCAATTTACCATCATTTGGAGCTACCGCATTTAAGAAACAATTAGTGTTTTTATACTTGCATCAAAATGATTTACTGCATTGGTCACATTAGTTAAAACTCTTAGCTGACCTTTGACCTTCTGAAATTTCTGTTTGAATTTCTCTTCCAGGAACATCCGTAACCAAGCTGGCAGCAATCGATCCTGAGGGAGAGCCCCTCACCTATGGGGTTGTAGGAGATGAGGGCACGAGGTATTTTGAAGTTGACAGGAATACCGGAGTGGTCTGGCTGCGACAAATGCTTGATCGTGAGGTAAACACACACACACACACACACACACACACACACACTACCTGATGTACACATTATGTTACATTACCAAAACAAATGTGCAGGTTACAAGAAAAAGAGATTTTGGAAATTATAGATTTATGTGTTGATGTTTGTCTCTGTCCTCAACAGACCAAGTCAGAGATGCAGGTGGCGTTCACCGTGAGTGACCCTCATGAGGTAGGATACAGAACTGCACTGTTTATGATTATGACACACTCTTAAACATGCCGACGCACTGACTTTACCCTCGTCACACGTCACTTGCATCCATCAGAATCTTTTTCTTCAGTCTCTTACTCTTAATCTCACTCTTCCTCCTCTCCTATATGACATCCATCTCACTCAGCACAATGCAGTTGCTAAAACGTCCATCCCACTCGTACCCCAGGGTGACTCATCAGAGACGTCCTGTTTTCTTTTCCTCTGGATTCAAACTTTGTGCCTAATGAATGTTTTGTATCAATACGAACTGTTTTCTCACACAGACGGTCACAGACACCGTAAACATCCAGGTCGGAGATGTAAACGATAACGCGCCAACCTTCCATGGGCAGCCGTATGCAGTCCGTATCCCTGAGGTAAGGATGACTGAAATTGCTAGCTTAATTGCATCCATGGAAATAAAGTCAAATTAGCCTATTATTCCTTCTTATCTAGTGGGCACAGCAACTTCCTGCAGAAAATTTGAATTCAATGTTTATTAAAAAGGACTATTGTTTTTTTTAAACAACAATCCCAGCAGAAATTCCTTCCACCATCTCATTAATTTTTTTGCAGATCTATACCTCTGTAAAAAACACTTGAGGCTAATTTGCCTCAGTTTTGACACTTGAGAAGACCTCATGTTGTTTATTGATTTTTCACTCTAAACATTGTACTGTGTTGTGTTCCAGTTCCCCTTTAGAGTCGAACGAGGTTCTCTTCTCAGTTAAACAGTCAGAGGTGGGGTAATGTCAGCCGTGTGGAGGTATTTCAAAGTGAACCATGAATAAAAGTGGCCTTGGGAGGACTTAGATTCACTGACCTATTGTGTTTTTAGTTGGCGGGAAGAACCAGGAACTACGGATGTCCCGATCAGGTTTTTGTGTCCTCGAGTCCGAGTCATTTAATTTTGAGAATCCGCTGATACCGAGTCCCGATTTGATACTTTCGATACATAAAAAAAGAATAAAGAAAGTGAAGGAACAGATCCAAAATGTTCCTCATTTTTTATTTAATTTACTTTATTTTAACATTTAACAATTCTGTTAACAAACAGGGCTCTTCTGTGAGGTAGCTTGAACAATCAAGTAATAAATTCCCCTTAGCTCTCCTGTTATTTGAACCCTGTATCCAAGTCTGGATTGGCACGTAACGTCCAGTCCGAGTCTGAATCCATGTGATCGGGACAGATTTCCCATCACGTGATCGGATCGGGACATCCCTACCTTCCATTTTCATCCATTATTGTCCACTTATCCAGAGTCGGGTCATGAGACCAGCAGCCTAAGCAGAGAGGCCCAGACTTCCCTCTGCCCAGCCACTTGGGCCAGCTCCTCCGGAGGAACCCTAAGGTGTTTCCCGGCCGTCTGAGGCCGAGTCCACACGTAGCCGGGTTTTTTAAAAACGAATATCCGCCCCTCCAAAAACTTGCATCCACACCACCTCGTTTAAAAAACAAACTCTGTCCACACGTACCCGGATAAATACGTTGTTAAGGACATGCCAGACCTGTAGGCGGCAGTACTTCCCCCGTTCTTAACCTCGTCCTTCGTCTGTGGTCTTCCACAAGGAGCAGTAATTCCGCTTGCAAAAACAAACAAGCAGAAAGCGCTTGGACAATTGATGGATCGGGTATTGACAGAGCGCAGCTCTGAGGGCTTCCATGCTGTCGGCTAGTGTAAACACAGGTCGCACACGTGATGTCAGCATTTTTCTGTCGCGGAAAGTGACGTTGCGGACCTTAAAACTCCGGTTTTGTCTGTCCACACGCAGACACCCAAAACGGAGAAAACACAGATCTTCACTTTGGCCGGAGTTTTTAAAAAGATCCGTTTTCGTGTGAAAAAACTCTGTTTTCGTGTGGATGACAGGCCAAAACGTAGAAAAATATCTACGTTTTGGCAGATCCCCGGCTACGTGTGGACAGGGCCTCAGAGACATAGTCCCTCCAACATGTCCTGGATCTTTCCTTGGGTCTCCTCCCGGTTGGACTTGCCTGGAAAACCTCAACAGAGACGCGTCCAGGAGGCATCCTAACCAGATGCCCGAGCCACCTCAACTGGCTCCTCTCGACGTGGAGGAGCAGTGGATCTACTCCAAGCCCCTCCCAGATGACAGAGCTTCTCACCTTATCTCTAAGAGAGAGACCAGCCACTCTGCAGAGAAAACTAATTTGGCCTCTTGTAACTGCTATCTCGTTCTTCAGTCTCTACCCAAAGTTTGTGGCCATGGGTAAGGATAGGAACGTAGATCGACTGGTAAATCTAGAGCTTTGCCTTCCAGCTCAGCCGTCTATTCATCATGACAGACCGGTACAACGCCCGCATCGCTGCAGACGCAGCACCAATCCGCCTATCAAGCTTGCGTTCTGTCGCGAACAAGACCCCGTGATACTTAAACTCCTCCACTTGGGGCAGGGCTACATCTCTGATCTGGAGAAGGCATTCTGCCTTTTTCCCACTCAAGACCATGGTCTTGGATTTAGAACAGGGATTAAAGTTCTCTGTCGTGGCGACGGAAATCTGTCAGTTGGAATAATCAGAAAAAAGTTCAGTCAAAATCTCTTCTCACGCTCGCTTGGGTTTAGTAGTCTCTCTCTCTCTCTCTCTCTCTCTCTCACGCTCTCTCTCTCTCTCTTGCTCACTCTCTCTCTCACGCTCGTTCTCTCTCTCTCTCTTGCTCACTCTCTCTCTCACGCTCGTTCTCTCTCTCTCTCTCTCATGCTCGCTCTCTCTCTCTCACGCTCATTCTCTCTCTCTCATGCTCGCTCTCTCTCTCTCTCTCATGCTCGCTCTCTCTCTCTCACGCTCGTTCTCTTTCTCTCTCTTGCTCACTCTCTCTCTCACGCTCGTTCTCTCTCTCTCTCTCTCATGCTCGCTCTCTCTCTCTCACGCTCATTCTCTCTCTCTCATGCTCGCTCTCTCTCTCTCTCTCATGCTCGCTCTCTCTCTCTCACGCTCGTTCTCTTTCTCTCTCTCGCTCACTCTCTCTCTCTCTCCCCGCAGGACCCCCCTAGAGTACTTCAATACTTATCATCTTTTTTACCACAGAGAGATCTCAACACCCACACTTTTAGACACTGTGTGTGTGAACGGGTTATTCCTAATTTTTCAGAAACAAGAATCCTGACCTTAAAATTAATCAAAACCCGAATAGTGGCTACGTGTAAACAATGTGAGCCCCCCCCCCCCCCCCCCCCACACACACACACACACACACACACACACACAATAATTTTCAGATGACAATTATTTGCTTCAAACCCTGATTTAGAACCTGGAGCATCCAAGGACTATCCATACGTGGGAATATGCAAACTCATGACGAAGGGCCACAGCTGGCATACGAATGGGCATCTTTTTGCTGTGAGGCCCCTTTGCTGCCAACCTTTCCACCAGTCAGCCCCTGTGATGGATCCCCATCTTGTATTTATGATGATTGTCATCTCCTCATATTGCACCTTTGACCTCGACTTACCTACATCTGGCCCTTTTCTTGTATTCTTGTGTTTAGTGACTGTGCATGACTTCCTCTAAAGAGCCCTCCCTGTAGTGAAGACCTCAATCTTTTTCTTCTTGTTTTTTCCCACTTCTCCTCCCTCTCCCTGAATATGCTACCTTACTTCTTTCCATCTTTGTCTCCTCGGTGCTTTCTCCCCCATCTAATCCTTGATATGAAGTAATTGCCAAAGTGGAGTGGAGTACTTCAAACAGGGGCTTGAATTCACACAAACACACACAACCCACCCACATCTTGTTGTGTTTAAATGGAGCAGAAACCTATTTTTGAGTCTTCACCACATCTTCAAAGCCACGGGCTTTTCCTCTTCGTCAATCCATAAAGTCAGGCAAGCCGAATGGGAGAAGGAAGGAGTATTTAGATCAGGCTGTTAAGATCTCCCACTAGTGAGGATTCTCTCAGACCACTGAAATATGTGTGGGCTTCCATTTTAGTCCTCACATGTTTTGTGGTTTACAAACAAAAGTTTAGCTTCCAGAAATCCATTAAACAGGGCTGCATTTGACCCACGGTTTCTCCTAATCCTGGCTCTTCAGCATCACTCCATCCCACCATCTCATCAGTTTCAAGCTTTGGTTTTTTGACACAAGTGGACGGGGCAGGAGCTCATAGTTCTGTGAGTTTTGATTTATCATCCTCATTTTTTCTCATCCTCATTTCTACTATGGCCAAACCCTGAAAAGATGAGCTAAAATGTAGTTCTAATGAACCACCTTATATCTGTGAAGGCAGCACGAGAACACCGCTGGTGGAATTTGTTCATTCGCACGTCTAAATCATTTGGGTTGTCTGCCTGGTGTAGACACAACCAATTCATTTTTATTTTTTATGACTGTGTTACAATAACAGTACAACAATGTAGGCTCCGCCTCTACGTCTATAAAAAAGTACCCATCTTGTTTGCATGTTTCATCCTCTTATTTATGAGACCATGTTCAAAATGTTTCTCTAATATTTAAAGTCAAATTGATTTTTGTTAAATAATGATGCAAAAATGAGTGCAAGACCAGTTATCCGGTCCCTGTAATGGCAGTCTTAAAGTCTGGCCAAAGCTAACGTACAGTAGCATTTTAGCTACTTTCTGAACTCGGTCACATCCAACAGCGAGGGAATAATCAAGTTTTGTTTAAAGAGGTGAGACACAATCTTATTTACTTAAAGAGTAACTAAACCCCAAAATAACATTTATTTGCTTATTAACTGTATAATTGGGTCTTAAAAAAGGCAATCTTTCTGTTTCTGTGCATTTTTTGACATGCTTGTGTAAACTTGATTAAATCTAGAATCTAGGTCTAAAAACGTCTTAGTGCTGCCCCCTGTGGCAGAACAGTGGCTACTGCATTAGAAACTAGTGATTGGCCGGGGCTGGAACAATTTCACGTCATCGGTACAGTCTCCTCCCACTCCCCCTCCCTCCCAGGATGGAAACTCCTCACACTTGGCCATGCCCCTCTGTGACTCCTGGCAACGCCCACTTTCAGGGGCGCAGATAGGATTTTCATACTGGGGGGGACAAAGTTCCAATGTACCCTCCCCCAAACACACACACACACACACACACACACACACACGTACACATACACATACACAAACTATTGCAAGCGCCTTAACTAGAGCTCAGTCAGTTTGTGTAATTTCATCCAACGGTTTACGTAAAAACTAACTTTTATATACGTGTTTGAAGCCGTTGTGCAGCGGAACGCTGGCAGCAAAGCTCTGCCTGACCAACACTATAAATGATAAATGATCCGCACTTGTATAGAGTCTCTCAGAGTAAGGACTCCAAAGCGCTTTACACTACAGTGTATCATTCATCCATTCACACACATTAACACACTGATGGTGATGAGCTACGATG